TGGGGGTTGTTTGCGCGGCCCCCCACCGCGCCTGGTACTCCTGCGCGTCGATGGTGCTCTGCTTCGTCGCGTAGGTGCACAGGTGACTGCCCTTGTCCCCCACGGTGCTCTGCTGGTTGCCGACGGCCCCCTGCATGTTCTTGCCCGCGGAGCCGTCCTTGCCGCCCTTGGTGCTCACCTCCTCCGCGTTGGCGCCCGGCGTCCCGCTCTGGTCGTCGAACTCGCTGCCGACGCCCTCCATCGCGGTGCCGTTGCGCTCCTCCGTCTTCACTATGTTCAGGTGCCTGCCCTGGTTCTGCTCGGTACTCTTCTGGCCCCCGTACGCCCCCTGAGCGTCGCCGTTGCTCTGCCCGTGATCTGCGGTGTTCTGCTGGCCCTCCCCGACGCCGACCTCGAGCTCCTCCGTCTGCACGCCGCTGCCCGAGGCCAGGCGCGGGAAGGCGGGGACCTCCGCGAACGGGGCGCGCCCCTTCAGCCCTGCGAACTGGGGCGAGGGTTCCCGCCGCCGCACCACGGCGCTCCTGCAGCTCCGCCAGGGCCTGCTCGAGCTGCGAGATCTTCTGGCTCTGCTCGCGCGACCTGTGGGAGAGCTGCGCTGCCTCGTCCTCCGTCATCTGGACCTTCAGCTCCAGCGCACGCTGCTCCTCAGACGTGTCCGCCAGGAGCTTCTGGCAGCGCTGGTCCGCCGCCTGTAGCTCGAGGACCTTCTCGGCTAGGAGCGCCGTCGTGTTTGCTTTCTCTTCAAGCTTGCATTGACCCGCCTCGTCCTGCTCCGACCCGATGGTGCCAGGGTGGGCGCCCAGGGCCTCCATTACCTCCTGTAACAAGTCCCTGTCGGGATGGGCTGCCCAGCGCCTGCCGCCTCGCATCGCAACCCACCGCCGCGCCAGCTCTGGCTGAGCCTTGGCCAGGGCTCGGCGCACTTCCTCGGAAATGGCCTTGCGCCCTAGGCCCAGCTTCACCCCAGCGCCCCCGAGGCCCTGCTCGAACCCGTCGAGGACGCTGGCATCGGGGCTGTCGGAGGCCAGCAGCTGGATCAGCCGCGCGGCCTCTTCCACTGTTCTGCTGTGCGCCGCGCAATGGCCATGCCGCACCGCGACGCCACGAGCGCTGGAGCGACCCATGGCGGAGTCCCGAGGGCGCGGGCGCCTCGGAGCGCCGTGCAGAGTGAGAGAACTGGGGGAGCTGACCCCGCCCACTCGAGCCCAAATGGCTACGGAGGAGGAGGGGGAGGAGGAGGAGGGGGAGGAGGAGGAGAAGGAGGAGGAGGGGGAGGAGGGGGAGGAGAAGAGGAGGAGGAGGAGGAGGGGGAGGAGGAGGGGCAGTAGGAGGGGCAGTAGGAGGAGGAAGAAGAGGAGGGGGGGAGGCAGATGGGGGGCGGGGGAGGAGGGGGAGGAGGAGGAGGGGGGAGGAGGAGGAGGAGGTGGAGGAGGAGGAGGAGAGGAGGAGGAGAGGAGTAGGAGTAGGGGGGGGGGGGGGGGAGGAGCAGCAGGAGGAGCCATTTTGAGCCATCTCAGCCGTCTCTCGGGGGGGCGCGTTGGACCGCCTTGGCGCCGCGTTGAAACCCTCTCGTTCGCTTCGGCGGCAACGCGGGCGCCATCTCGAAGGCCAGCGCGAGCCTCAAGATGGCGAGCGACAACCTCACGATTGTCGATTCATTGCGCCCACCTTGCGACCCATTTCTGGCCTGCCAGGCGACCGCCCCCGCCCCGCCCCGCGCGCCGCCGCTGCCGCGCCCACGGTTGGCGCAGTTGCGCGACGCGGAGCTCCGCGGAAGGCACCGACGGCAAGGTGCGCATGGAGGTCCCGCCTCACGTCGGCGCACCGCTCACGCGCTTCGCGGCGCCATAGAGAGCGCCGCCGAAAGCTTCAGTGACAAGGCCCGCGCGGCAGCCCCGCAACGTGGAACCGACTTGTAAATGAGATGACTGAACCACATCCAATGCGCTTCCCATGGCGCGCATTCGGTCACGCACCCAACATGCAGTAGGGCGGAAATCCACAAAAGCATGGCGGAAACGGCAACAGAAAGGCAGGGCGGGAATAGGCGCCAGCGGGGCTAGACAAGCAAGGCGGAAATCCCAAGCCCCATGTGCGAAATTGCCCAGAATAGGGCGGATCCGAATTCAGGGCGCGCGCTCCTGCGCCGGCCCTTGCTGGGACCCACCCCCGCACCGCCAGCCCGATGGCCGCGCGCACCTCGGGCGACCCCCGACGCGGTCGCGCCTCGCGCGGCCCTCGCGACCGCGCCTTGCAGCGCCGCCGCGGCGCAGACGGCGCGCATCCCGCGCGCGGGGATGCAGCTCGGCTCGCGGCGGGCCATGGGTTCGCAGCGGCTTCTCGCGTCGGCGCCTGCGCTGCTTGCAGGTTCCGTTGCAGTGCCAGCGAAAGAAGCGATTGGCAGGTCCGCCCGCGCCGTCGCCATCAGCGCGCGCTGCAGCGGGGATCGCGACGCGAGAAGCGGCGCGGGCAAGCGGAACGCGCGCCGCGCGCGGGCGCGCCCGGTAGTCGCGTTGCGGCCGCGCGCGAACGCAGCGGCAGCAGCCGTCTGGCCGCCGCGCTCACCTGCCACGACACCGCGTTGATTCATCCCCGAGCGCAGCGCCGCTTGCGCGCGGCGCCGCGCCAGCAGGGCGAACTGCGCGCGCAACCTGGATCTGTTCCTGCGCGCGGCGCCGCTCGCGCGCGGAGCCGCGTCGGAAGGGCGAGCTGCTCGCGCGACTACCCGCGGCGCCCCTCGACGCCGCAAGCGCGCGGGAGAGTAGATGCGTTCGACGATGCACTGTCGACGGAGCTAACGCCGCGAGCTGCCCCCCCCCCGCCGGGCGATTCCCCTTGCAGCGCAAACGCGCCGCGTGCCCGGAGAAACCCAAGGCGCCCCAGCGAGAAGCGCTCAATTTATCGTCGCGCCCCCGCACCGCGCAACGCCCGCGCGCGGGCGCTCTCTTTTCTGAGCGTCGTGGATGCGCCCGCTAGAACCTCCCCTAGCGCGGGGCAAACTGGCCGTTGCTGGCCCGCCGGGCCAGAGGAGCGCGCAATGTGCTCGAGCCAGAATGGTTCGGACTGGAACCATGCGGGGCCATCCTCGGTTCGGGCGGGCATGGTCGGGCGGCCGGACTGGCGGGCAGCTCGGGCGGCCGGATCTGATCTCGACGGACGGGCCGCGCGGGCGCGAGCGGGCTGGGTCGACGCGGGCGGAGGGGCCCGAGAGGGCGGGTCGGCGGCAGGGCCCGGGCGGGCGGTTCGCGCGGATCAGGCCGGGACGGGACAGGCGGGCGCCGCCCCTGTCAATGGCGCCGCGCGGCTGACACCGGTTGCTCTCGCGAGCGCGTACGGCAACAATCCGCGTCGAACCGAACGGCGCGGGCCTTTGCGCGACCTGAACGGGCGCCGCCCCCGACAACCGCAACCGCGCGGCCCGCGCGAGTGAGCCAATCCTTGTCATCGCCACGATAAAAATGCCTGCGGAACTGCATCAAATGTCACAGCCTTGCGACTGCTCTGGGCGGACAATGTGATCAAAATTGTACCGCCCGCTAAGTTATGTTCTCCTGCATGATAGGGAAGCTCGGCGATTTCCAAGGTTACGCGCGATGCTAATATTATTTCTGGGCGGGCGGGCGGGTTTCAAGGCCCCCGACGCGCAGCTGCGATTTCATGACGCGGACCACCAAAGGCAATTGCGGACCCCCCCCAAGCTGGCCTATCGCCCCGAACAAATTGTGCGCAGCCCCACGCCTGCGACGGGCCCTGGGGGGCCCTGGGGGGCCTAAAGTTGGGAAGCCTTCCGTCATTTTTTGGTCACGCCGCTGGGGGGCCCGGGTTTGGCGCAACTTGACCGCGGTGGAGCAGACCAGATGTTACCCCCACCTTCTGCAAAGACTTTTCGGCAGTGGGCCGCGCAGTGGCCGACAGGTTGTCCGAGAAGACAGCCGCCCAATCCGCGCTCGCGGACCCGGGTCGGGCGGGCGTGGGCGGGCGAAGGAGACCACGCAGGAAACCATAAGGGAGATCACATGGATGACCACGCGGGAGATCACGCGGATGACCGCGCGGGCGACCGCGGGCCAAAGACTCCGCGCCCGGAGGACTTCACATCCGGCCTTCCCCCAACTCTCCCCCCCCCCCCTCCTCTGTAGACCCAATGCTGCAAAGCGGGGTCGTAGTGCAATGATAACCGCGAGGTTGCACGTCAGCGGAGACACAGCAATCGCATCAATAATCTCCGCAATGGATGGCGAAAGATGGCTGCTGAGCGGAACCCGCGATGGCCCCTGTCGCTGCGCCCGAGCCCAAGGGCCCTGGAAACGATTCCAGAATGAGCACGGCAAAGGTCAATGCGCTCTGCATGCTTGCTTGCCTGCTGTGCTGCACTGCATGCAGACCAGCACAGACACTATATATTTCACACCCGTGCAGAATTATTCCGATATGTGCGTCTCTGGTCTTAGATCGCTTAGAGGCGTAAAATCTCACGTCAACCAACTCAGCTGAAACCGAGCGCCTGCTGCGTTTTATCCTGGAACCAGGCGGCGGGTGGCGCGCTTAAAAAGTGAGCCGGCACTGTTCATATGTGCCTCGTGCTCGGGCCTGGTCGGTTGACTCTTGATGCTGCAATGCGAGGCGCGTGTCTCGCAGCACTGCCCTGATGGCACTGCCGTCAGATCGCTTGGTAAACTGATCTCCGAGCTGCTGGTCGGTCGGAACCCAAAAGAGAGGCAGCTGGCTGCGCTGATCGTCGGCAACGAATTCGTTTACTTATTTCCTCTTCTAATGACTCCTTGAGGCCTACTAGGTCTAGCAAAAGGCGCCGCTCTGACGGGGGCTTGGGGTAGCCGTCTTTGTGCATCGTATCGCACAAGCTAGCGCAGTCTGTAACCTGAGCAAGCGGCAACAAACTCGGGGGATTATCTTCCGGATGAGCATCCGGTATCTCAAGCGAAACGAAAACGCAGCGTGTGATCTGAGCACAGCCTGATGCGTCTACTGCTGACATCGTCTCAGCTGCCAAAAATAGATCTGCGAACTCTCCTGATGGTGCCTGATCGCCAATCAACGATTCCCGCTCGCGCCTTGTCGCCGCGCAACAGCTTGGCCTCGGCGATGAAAGTCACGTAGCCGGCCTGCGAGCGAATCTTGATATGATTGTCCTTGCTGCCCACGATCTTGGTGAGTAGCGTAGCTACGACGCCTTCAGGTGGCTCGTCAGCATTGGCCCAGCTGGCGTCGTGGTAAGTGACCAGGCAAAGTGGTTCACGTAGCCTCGTAAATTCCAGTCCCGCGTCCGCGTGCTTCCGCGCCAGCTTGATGAGCCGATTCGTCTCGAGCAGGTCCTAGATGGTGGGCTTGTTCTGGGTGCGCTGTCCCATGGCCACTCCAGCTGACAGATCTGGTCGAGTCTGCGATGAAAGCCATCCAAGCGCCCCGAGGGCGGAGCGGTTGTCCGAAAACTCGGCTGGCGTTGCCTCCGCCGACAGCTCCGTCTTGCGCTCCTGGCTGAGCGCGATCTCTTCGATCGTGTTCGCGTCATCTGTCTGGCGTAGGCGTAGGGCCCCCTCCTCATCGCGCCGCGCCTGCTTGCCGCAAAAGGTGAATGGCAAACCCCGCCAGTCGCCCCACGGCAGGAGCTTGTAGAGCCAGTCGCATAAGGTCGCCCCACGGCAGGAGTTTGTAGAGCCCGAAACGCCCAGCAGCAGGTCGTCCACGTGGGCGACCACCACCGCGCACAGCCCCCCGTGCTTGTCGCAGCCGTAGTACAGCGCTGGATCTAGCGAATGCTGGCGAAGTCGGAAGACGTAGTCGCCTAGCTTCCTCCACCGCAAGCAAGGTCCTTTCGAGCTTAGCCCACCACTGTCGCGGTGCGGCGGCTAGCCCGAAGACTCCCTTGAGGATCTTAATCAACTGCTTCGGGCGCAACCCAGGTAAACCCTCGCGGGGCTGAGCCATGTGCAACTGCTGGTCGGGCTGCTCGTCGCCTTGCATGAAAGCCGCCTCCACGTCCGCTGCGTAAATCTCCAGGTCGAACCACTGGCAGACGGTGAAGAACAGCATGGCCGAGTTGCGGGTGACCGTAGGCGCGTCTGTGCGCAGGTCGCCCTGAGCGAGACGCGGTTCCACGTGGCCCCCGACGCAGAGTCGGGCCTTGGCCTCGAACGGCAGCGGGCGCTTGTCAGTCCGCAGCGGCGCGTTCCTATCCCGGTACACAAACCGGCTGGGCAAGATGAGGTTGGCCTTAACCCTGCCCCTGACCGCCTCGGACTCCTCGATAGTGAGCACCCGACAGGATCCTTACTTCTGCCACTCGCTCCACTGCTTGGCCGCCGCCTCCCGGTAGAGCTCCCTGTCGGAGTCCTTGATGGCCCTTCAGTGGATCTCCTTGTCGGCTTGCTTGCGCTTGATCCTCTCGGCGACGATGGAGGTCTGCATCGCTTCTCTGGGAGCCGACCTCGAACGCTCTCTAGCGCCCTCCTGCTCGGATCTGGCCGCTGCTCCGCTTTCGGGCACGGCCGCCCGATTGCGCGAGGCCGTCCTCGGGGGCGATCCTCCGGAGCCCGCGTGCTCCTTGGCGGTAGTCGCCGCTGTCCGCCCCGTCGAAGGTCGCTCGCCGAAGGTCGCTCGCCGTCGTCGGAAATCGACGGGACCGTAGGGCTGCTCCTCGAAGGCTGACTGAGGTATGTCGGCTCGGTCGGCGGGCAGCACCTCGATCTGCTCCTGGGGCTTCAGGTCCTCAGGAACGTTCAGCCTCAGGTCGTCGTCGTCTGGGCTGTCGATGAACTCCCGCCACGCCTGCTCCATCCCGTCTGGCTGGACCTCGGGCTGGCCCGGCTCGGGGCGGATGTCCTCCACCGGGGCCTCCTCCTGCTCGAGTGGGTCGCGAGCCCTGTTGAGCTCGGCCACGGCCTGGCCGATCTCGCCCAGACCGTTCGGGAACCAGACGTCGTCCGGAGCGAGCGCCTTGATGTGCTCCGGGGCCACCAGCGTGGCGTGCCCTCCCAGCGAAACCCAGGCGTTGTTGCCCTAGAGACCGATGACCACGCACGGCCCCCGCCAGATGCCCTTCTTGGCGTTGCGGTTGTGCTGCTCCTTCTGCTCCTTCTTCTTGACTTGGCGGAAAATGTAGCACATGTCGCCCACTGACAAGGGTGTGGCCACGGTGCGCGCGCCAGCCAGCATAGCCCGTCTGAGCTGGTCGTCGTTCTGCATCCGCATGAACGACTCGCGCGCCGCCGTCCGAATAGCATATCGGCGGCAAATTGTCTCGTCATGGGTGGCGAGGCTGTGGGCACCGTAGTTGGCCGTGTCGTCCGCCAGGTCGGCGGGCATCTTGGGATCGCGTCCCAGCACCCACTGCGCGGGGCTGACGCCGGCCCGCCGCCTCAGCGAGTTCTTCGCGCCCGAAACCATGATGCCCAGCGTCCGCATCTCGCCCTCGCCCCTAATCGACGAGTGCTCGATCGTCCTTGCAGCGAGCTCCACTCGACCGAGCTGCCAGTGGGCCTGTCCCGCGATAGGTAGCTGCACCGCGTCGAAAGACTGGAACAGCTCGCTGAGAACGCCGCCGAAACCCCTCTCCATGTCGAAGTAGACTCGGTCCGGGACGCCGGCCCAGGAGGCCCAGCACCTCTCGAAGGCCGTAGCGAAATCCTGGCTGGTGTGGCGACCGATCAGCGTCGCGACGTGGAAGGTAGTGGCCAAGTCGACGATGCTGAAGTACAAGTAGCTCTTGCCGTCGACGTCCTTGAGCTCGAAGCAATCGAAGCCCACGTCGTCGCCAAAATCTTGCACGAAGTGAAGGTGCGCTGGTCTCCTTGCGCTCGGGCGCTGCTGCGAGCGGTGCACTCCGCAGATCAGCCCCTCGACGGCCTGCACGGCGGCCGACTTAGCACCCTCGAATCGCAGACTGCAGCCCAAGTCTTCATTAGACGGATGGCCCAAGTTGACGTGGAGTCTCTTGAGCATGGCCAGCTCGGCTGGCTCGCAGCACGCTGCTGCTTTCTTTGTGAAAGTAATCGCGCCGACCCCGATCCTGCCGTCCACAGTCTCGTCGGTCTGCACGTCGTGTGTGTCGGCGAAATCGTCTCCGCCGCCCCTGGGGGCTGGGTCCCCAATAGGCTCGCCCGTCTCTCCCAGGGGCGCGGCGTCGTTCACGTAGACGGTGGCCTGCTCCTTCAACTCCGTCGCGATGAGGGGCGACGAAGACTGGCAGGCGCGAGGCCCACCCTGCCGGCGAATGATCTGCGCGAGGACGCGCACCACCGCTCGGCAGAACTTGGCCGGATAAACGCCAGACTTCCGCGCCGCCACGTTGTCCCCGAACGTCTGGTCGCGGTGCGTGTGGCTGCAGGTGCGGCGTAGCCGCTCGGACTCCTCGCGGGTGACGAGCAGCTTGGCGGGGTGCTTGATGAGCCCCCCCGCCTTGTAGCGTCGAGCCCCGTAGTCGCACATATCGCGCCTCACCTGGTACGCGCGATTGTTGGCAAGTAGCTCTATCATAATGCGCTGTGCCCAGATCCGGCTGGCGGCCCGGTTCTCGATCATGGCGACGCCGCCTGAATCGAGCAGAGACTTGAAGAGGTCGCGGGCCAAGAAAAGGCATGGCCGCTCCGCGCGCCAATCGCCGCAGCGCCTGCTTGCCCTGCGGCGTGCGGAAGTTGAGGTGCGCAATGTTCGCGCAGCATGTGCAGGGTAGCTCGATCGACGCGAACTTCGGCCTCGATGCGTAGCACCGCTCGTGCGTTATCTCGAGGTCCTTCTGCTTGCGGAGGTCCCAGCCGCACTTGCGGTCGATCTCCTCCGCGGCTGTCATGTTGCGGCGCGCTGCCGCCTCGGCAATGCCGCCTTCGCCTCCGAACACCTGCATGACGCCCACGCCGTGGATCCGAACGGTGTAGACATCCTTGACGTTCCTCACGTGGTCCGCCACGTCCCGCGCGGCGCTCGTCGCGTGCCGAGCGAACGGCTTGAGAGGTTTGGACAGCCAGTCCGCCGTGAGCACCGCCTGAAACGCGAAGGCGCTCAGCAAGCCCGTGACCTGGTAGAGTAGGCCGACGCGCTTGCCCTTCTTGATGCCTGGCCGCCTGCCCGAGGCTGGCGGCTGGTCCTGGCGGCTGCCGCCGCCTGGGCCTCGTCGCGCGGAGACGCCGCATCCGTCTCCTGGTCGGTCTCGCCCGCCTTCTGGAAGCCGCGGTCGCCGGTGTCCATCTCGTGCTCCTCGACCGGCCTCGGGCGACGGTGACCCGTCCAGCTGCCGTGACTTGCTGAGGCCCGCTGGGTCGTCGCCGTCAGCGTCGCGGACTCGTCGTCCAGGATCACCTCCTCGGCCATCACCGCCTCGATGGCGGCCTTGAGCTCCTCTGGCTCGAGCGGCCTCACCCCGTGAGCCTTGACCCACCTGCCGAAGCGCGCCAGGAGCGGGCTCGCTCGGCCGTTGTCCAGCTCCAGCACCGCCCGCCGCGCGTAACCCAGGTCGTTCTTGAGCACCCAGCGGTAATCCGCGGTCGGGTACTTGCCGAAGCTCATCTTGTCGCTCCCCGTGATCTGCGAGCTTGGATGGGCCACGTTGCTCGAGGCGCCGCTGACCGCTACCTCGACCTTCCAGCCCTTCAGGCGCTGCCTGAGCTCCGGCACGGTCGTGTGCTGGCCGAAACCGATGCCCTTCATCCTGCGCAACTCCTGGAGCTCGCGCTTGTGCATCTTGCCGAGCCCGGGGACGCCCTGCGCCGTCTTGTCCTGGCCCTCGGCCCTCAGCGCGCGCAGGGTGACGCGGAGCTGGTCGCACGTCGCGACGCGCGCATCTAACTCGCAGCTTGCCACCTCCGCCTGTTGGTCCCCCATCCGCACGAAGAGATCGCCGGGAGGCGGGAAGTGCTCGGCGTCGGCGTGTTCGAGCAGCTGATCTCCGGGTTCGTCGCCCTGGGAGATGCCATGCAGTTCCGCTGCGACGGGGGCATGAACTCCGGCCGCTGGTTCGTGACAAGCTGCGGCGGCTGGATCTGCCACGGCACGCGTTGCGAAAGCTGTTGGAGCCTTAGATGAACTCGAGCCGGATGGCTGCGGTGATGATGCCGTTTGATGACTCCGTGCTGATGGCTGATCTCGTAGCTCGCTACTGCTTGCTTGCTGCTGAAATAGGACGCGTTGTGGCTGAGGGTCGCAATTTGGTTTAGCTCCTCGTCCCGTGTGATCGGTTTGCACGATCTGTGCTGCGCTGGCGGACGTAGGAATAACTCCCCACGCCTCGTCCTCCGACCCCGATGATGACTGACGCGACGGAATGTATGCGCACATGGCCTGGCGCACCTGCTGCTCGAACAGTTCAGCGCTGTCGAGCTCGTCACAATCAGTCTCCGACTGAGACTCGTCGGCCTCCGAGGCGACCCCTTGGTCGCAGCACTCGGGCGCTACCGGCTTGGCGGCGCTGGCCACGGCTGTCTCGGCGTGGTAAGTCGATAAACGATGCAGCCGGATCTTGGTCTTGGTGTCCGAGACGTCCGACACTGGCTTGTAGCTTGGCGTGAAGCATGTGATCTCGAGCGTCGGGTGTCCGGCGCGGCTCGAACCCATCTGGATGCCGTGCTCGTTGACGGACTTGATGTCCAGCTTGTTGTCCCCTGCGCGATAGACAACGTCCAGCTCGCTCTGGGCCTGGCGGCTGAACAGTCCAGGCACGGCGCTGCGCGCGATGCTCATGCGCGCGGCGAAGGCCCTGCCATTCACCGAGCAGGGAATCAGCGCCGCCTTGAGGCTGTACACCACCTTGGACGCTCCGAAGCGGAACGGCTCCCCCTCCGGGTACTCGGTCGGCTGGATGTTGAAGGCCACCAGCTTCTTCTTGATGTCGCTGTGCCAGCCCAGGCCGCCGACGCACCGCGAGCAGGCAGTGTCGAAAGTCAGCTTGCCGCCCGAATCCTTGAGTAGGTCGTCGACGCTGATGTACACTCTGCATGCTTGCTTGCCTGCTGTGCTACACTGCATACACATCAGCACGGACACTACATATTTCACATCCTCCTCCTCCTCCTTTTCTTCGTCCTCGTCCTCGTCCTCGTCCCCGTCCCCGTCCCCGTCCCCCCGTCCCCGTCCCCGTCCTCGTCCTCGTCCTCGTCCTCCTCCTCCTCCTCCTCCTCCTCCTGCTCCTCCTCCGCCTCCGCCTCCGTCTCCGCCTCCTCCTCCTCCTCCTCCTCCTCCTCC